ATCTGTCTTTCTAGGCTCTACACTGCCTGCCCTTAACTTTTTGGTTCTTTTTACTTGAAACATAAAATACGCTTTCTGTTTTTCTTTCCTTTTTTTTTAAGTGGGGGGAGGCGTGGATGGAGAGGAAGAGAGAGAGAATCTTAAACAGTCTCCACGCCCAGCGCAGAGCCTGACACGGGGCTCCATCTCACCACTCTGAGCCATTTCACCATGACCTGAGCTGAAATCAAGAGTCAGAGGCTCAACTGACTGAGACACCCAGGAGCCCCCTTTCTGTTTTTCTTAATATTTTCATAAGCTCAAACTCTGGCTTTGGCCTTCCCCACATTATTCTTCTAGGGTCCCTGTCATTATTTCCTGGTTATTGTTCACAGGGGCAAATGGGTGGTGATCAGGATCAAGGGAGGAGTCCTGATCTGACTCTTACCAGCCATGCAACCTTGTACAAGTTACTTACCACCTGAGGCTCAATTTGTTGTCTTTAAAATAGGATGTTGGTTCTAGTTCTCTCATTACATGACATAATTCTTAGCATGGTGTCTAGCACAGCAGTGTTAGGGATGGTTATTTGTGTCCCTCATCTATTCTCCTCCATGTCCTTCTTCAATCTGAGGTCACTGGGGACCCCCTGACCAGTCACCAGATGCTCTCTCAGTATCAGGCACTATGCAGGGGACAAGGATGCGGCATGAAGTGCCATTATCCTGACCTCAAGGCACTTACAACTTAAACAATTAATAATAAGAAGTAGGCTAATAACCACAAAAGTGTAGGAGGAGATTGTTTCACCAGGAGAACTGAAACCACGGTCATGTGGTCTCTTCACATGAAGCCTGGCTCTACCATGTGCCAGATTGTAGTGCTAGATGGACTTAATATGACCAGCACTGGGCTCTAAAGTGATTTATATAAACGATTTCATTTGGTCTTCGTGACAAGCCTATTTGCTGTTACTAGAGCATCTCACAGATTTTTCCCCATGAATGGAGGGACTGGGGACACTAAACCAGCCCTAGGAGCACAATGACTTGTATATGGACATGTCTGGGTATTTCAAGCCACCCAGCTGCATTCAGAGTGTGTGGATGAACAGCTGCTCTCTGAGGACAGCTGTTTTCCTTCGGAAAGATGGCTTGGATGTGAAGGAGCAGTCAAGCGAATGAGGGAGGCAAAGGCCAAGATGAGGTCAAGGGGTGAACAACACTGAGAGCCTCGACAGGCGGTTCCACAAGACCATGTCAAGCCTCAGATGCCCGCTGGTGTTTGGTGGGACCCTGAGGTGTTCTGACCTTTCAGCTTGTTCTGCCTGGTGGGAACGCTGTCCCAGACTCAGAAGAGCTGCCATGTACCCTCTGTGGTCTCCTAACACCACTTCTCTGGTGTGACAGCACCTGGCCCACTGAGCTGACGGGGGCCCCAAATCCAGAACTGGCTGGGTGTGAATTTGCTGCCTCTGGTGCCCTGGCCAGAGTGAGGTGCTCTGCTTCAGTTCCTGGTTGTTCTCCTCACTGGCCCGGTGGCCTCCTACAAATCACCCAACTCATCTGGGCATCAACTTCCTCCTTTGCAGAACGAACACACTAAGATGCCTCAAAAGTGATTCCCACTTGACATTCCCACCAGCAGGCACAAAGACTCCGATTTCCTCACATCCCCACCAACACATGTTATTTCCCACTTTTTTGATAGCCGCCATCCCAGGGGGTGGAAAGTGGTAACTCACTGTGGTTTTGATTTACAATTTCCCAATGCTGAGTGATGTCAAGCATTTTTCATGTGCTTATTGGCCATCTGTGTATCTTCTCTGTAAAAAAGTCCATCCAAGTCCTTTGCCCGTTTAAAAATTGGGTTGTTTGATTTATTTGTGGTGTTGTTGAGTTGTAGGAGTTCCACATGTACTCTGGATATTTATCCCTTATCAGATACATGATTTGCAACTATTTCCCCCTATTCTGTGGGTGGGTTTTTTCCCCTCTCAGAATATGTTGGCTTTTTAGTGCATGAAAAATTTTAGTTTTGATGAAGTCCCTTTTATCTCTTTTGTCTTTCGTTGCCTGTGTTTTGATACTTAAGAAACCATTGCTAAACCCAAGGTTATAAAAATTTTCCACTATATTTTCCTCTAACAGCCAATTTCTTCTAATCAAATTGTACACTTGTAAGTGGTGAAAGTGGGCTATTACCAAATAACAAGTGTTGGCAAAGATGTGGTGAAATGGAAAAACACGTGTCAGGGAAAATGTGGAGAAACTGAAATCCTCATGCACCTGCTGGTGGATCATAAAATGGTGCAGCCACCATGGAAAGCAGGATGGAGGTTCTTTAAAAAATTAAAAATAGGACTACCATACGATCCAGCCATTGAAAACAGAGTCTCAAAGAGATATCTGCACACCCAATTTGACAACAGCACTATTCACAATAGTCAAGATGTGAAAGCAACCCGAATCGTCCACCGATGGATGAAGGGACAAACAAAATCTGTTATATATGTACAACAGAATATTATTCAGTCTTTGAAAGGAAGGACATCTGGCACAGGCTACAGCATGGATGAACCTTGAGGACATCATGCTAAGTGGAATCAGTCAATCACAGAAAGGCAAATGCAGTATGAATCTCCTTGCATGAGGAATCTAAAGTAGCCACATTCATGGAAACTGAAGTAGAAAGTTTACCGTATCAGGGTCTGGAGGGAGGGAGGGGGGGTTGGGGAAAAGGGGACTTGTTGTTTAATGGGTATAGTTTCAGATTTGCAAGATAAAAAGGTTCTGGAGATTTGTTTCACAACACTGTGAATATACTTGACACTACTGAAGTGCACAGTTAACAAGGGTCAAAATGGTAAATTTTATCTTGTGTATATTTTACCACAGTAAAAATGTTTATCCCCTCCACCTCATAAATAGAGGGTTTATGGAATGATAGATTTTTAAATACGGAAACAAGATTATTCTGTAAGCTACAGACCACACTGGAACTCTGAGGTGAAGAACTCCTGACAGGTGAATTTGACTTTGTCCACCGTTCTACGAATCCTTTATCAAGTTGAGCCTAAATATACGCCCCTCCCTGTGGTTTCACCCTCTGGTCCTACTTCTACCTCTTAAGTCTATAGGACAAGTCTAATCCCTTGCTGGGTGGTTGGTGGCAGTAGCCATGACTGACCGTGTGTCTCTTTTGGCCAGCACAGGACACACATTCGGATGTAGGCAGGGTTTCTCAGCGAGAGACAGAGAAAACAGGGCTCAGGGAGACAAGGGACCTGTTCCACCACCTGAGTAATGGAGGTGGGATTTGAACCCAGGTGTCCCTAACTCCAAAGCCCATGATTGTCATGCTAGACCAGACCGCCTCTGGGCCAGGTTCTTCCTCAGCCATCTTTTCTACGAACCCTTGGTCTTTTCTTCCGTGGCTTTGTTCTGCGTGCCTCCCCCATCCCCCCAGCCCGTTCCTTCTCTTGTGGCAAACACCGGGGAAGTTCCCACCAAGTCTGGGCAAGCCCTCACTCTCACTAGAGACGCTGCCCACCTTTCCTGTAATGCCCAACTGGACCCCGCACCCTGCAGAGGGAGAGGGCCATTGGTGGAAATCCATTCCAAGGCCCCCGAAACCCTCTTCCCCACCACCTCCCCTCCTGCTAAAAGCAGAAACCAGCCCCGTTCTCTCCCGCAGTATTTCCTCCTGGGAGTTCCTGCAAGGGAAGATGTTGCCATCCCAGGATTAACAGCCTGTTTGTTTAAAGGGCTTATTACTGGTGCTTAATGCTATTTTGACCGATGAAAGTGAGTCAATTATAGCTGGAAATAGCTCTGGCTGCATACATTTCTTCTGGGTAGTAGCCCATTCCCTGTCCGAGGGACTATTTCTCTTTACCATGGGCTAGTCCTCCTTCCCTCATCCCCTCTGACCCCCAAACCATGCAAAGACTTTCCTCCTTCCAGGCAGAGACAACAATTAAGGCATGGAGCCTAGATTCTGTGAGATGGGGGTTGCTGTGACAGACAGCAGGGATGAAGGGGATGCTCAAGGCAGGCTCACAGGTCAACCTCCAGGATAAGGGATGTGGCCCCAGCGAGCCCTGTGTCCATCAGGTGTCACTCTGCTCCATCAGCCACAAGTGTGGCCACCTCTTACTGAATGTCTTGCTCGGCTTTTCTTGGGGGTAATAGGTTTCTGTGCTGGCAACCTACCCTGATGAGACCAGGGCTGGTCATAGGCTCGGGGGACTCGGGGGTCACCTTTGTGAGGACAGCCAGGCCCCTTTGTGGGTTGGTCAGAGAGCTTCCCAGGGTCACACTGAGTTACGCCTGGGCCCCAGTAAAGAGCCTTTCAATGTCAGTGGGGGTCTGTGTAGTGCACTAGCTGGTGCCACTAAGCAGGACGGTGAACTGCCATGTGGTTGGATGAGCAAGGTCAGGAGTGTGGAGAGGTGTATTTGTAACAGGAGTCTCGAACTTAATATGCCCAAACTAAATAGCCCCAAACATGCACACCCATATGCTCAAGCTCTAATCCTAACAGCTATCCTGGATGTTTCTCTTTCTCGCCCTTCTTGAGGTCCTTAAATAGAACCCATCAGCAAATCCTGAGGCCTCTACTCCAAAGTTTCCAGCTGATCTGAGCCACCTGTTGCCTATCTGCTACCACTACCCCAGTCTAAGCCACAGTCAGTCCTCACGCAGACTCTTGCAAGAGCTTCCAGCACATTTTCCTCCTTCCATCCTTGCCCCTTATGATTCATTCCCTCTGAGCCGCAATGGGAAGACTGTTCTCAACACAGCTCTCCGGGCGGGCACTACGGATTGGGCAAAACTGGCATGCCGGAGGAAACCCACTTGCCAGCCCCCCTCCTTTCTCCAGGAAGGGAAGTGCAGAAAGGCCCCGGGGGCTTGCTGAATGGTACGCTGGGCTGCAGGTGCATCCGGGAGAGGAATATTGCCCACCAAGCCCCTCCCAGACTCCGTGACAGCCCCCTGCCCTGTGGAGAGGCCGCTCACCCGCGGACGGCGTGCAGCAGGCGCAGAGAGGGGTATGCAGTACGCACGTTGACGCGATGCTTCAGGATGAGCTCGTTGACCCACTCAACGCGCTCCTTGCCACCCCTGGCCATGAAGGCGGGAATCCACAGGATGCTGCCATTGAGACTGTGCAGCCGCTGGAGCAGCTTCTCCCGCCAGGTGGCGTTGACCAAGTCCTCAAAGGCCCGTTGGATGACCGAGGGATTCATGGTCACCAGGTCGGTCTTGAGCCCCACATCCCGCGCGTACTCCTGCACGGGGGCCAGGTTGCACCTGCCAGAGAGAAAGGCATCACAGTTCTTTTGGGGGAAGGTGAGATGCTGCTGCCTATAGTTCGTTTTATCCAACCTTTACCTCCTGTCCCCTCCTCCTCATCTTCCAGCACTGCCTCCCTGCCCGCCCCCCCCAGTCATCCCTGCTGCTTCTTCCCTGACACACACATTTACTAGGCTCTTACCACACACATAGAACTTCGCTAGGCCCTGGGGCTATACAATGCATGCCTTCCGGAGTTCCAGATCTAGTCAAGGAGGAAGGAGGCAAGTAAGCCAGCCCTCAGCCCACAAAGCGACCATGCTACAGGCAGGTGTGACCTGGCCATGTCAGGTAACAGTGAGGGCTCTGAAGGCACACTCCCAGGTTCAGAATCCACCTCTGCTGCTTTCTACCTGTGTGATTCTGGGCAACCTTCTCAACCTCTCTGTGCTTCCTAAGAGCTTTCCTACAGCTAAGGAATATGCACAATGGTTTCTTTAGCTGCGATGGAGAGCACAAGAGCACCCCCTCCCAGGGATTAAAGGAGTCACTACGTACCCAGTACTCAGAACACTGCTGGACCACACGAAGATCTCAGTGTGAACTAGTGTCATGTTACTACGGGAAGGAGGAGCATTAGGTGGTATTCTCAGAGGCGGTGACCACTGAGGGAAATCTAGAAGGACGCATGAGCGTTAGTCCCTTTGTGGACGAGACAATTAGAAGAGTGTTTCTCCAGCTTGCAGAGCAGAAGAATCACCTCAGGCGGTAGTTAAAAATACAGATTCGCCAGGTCTCTCACCTGGGGACCCAGATTCAACAGGTGAGCTGAGGAACTGACACTTACTTTTACAAGCCAGTCAGGTAATTCTTATGACCAGGCAGTTTAGGAAACATTGTAGGCACAAGAAATGTATCTGAGGGCATAGAGATGGGAAACAGTGTGGGTATCTGGGGGCGGGGCAAGTGATTTGCTCTGCCTGGGGCATAGTGTGTGGAGGAGACAAAGCTGGAGAGGCAAGCACAGACTGTATGTCACAGATGTGGTTCCAAGGGCAAAAGGGAGCCACAGAAGATTCTTGAGCAGGAGAGTAACATGACAAATTTGCATTTTAGGCAACAGAGAGACAACAATAAGATGAAGTTGTAGTACGTATTGTGTTGGATGGAATTGGGTCTGGGAGGACAAACTATAAAAGGCCATTGCAATTTCGTGCTAAACTCGACAGGGACCCTGCCTGGCTGGGCAACCTCTGATATCTCACCAGAGGCCTGCTTTGTGGGGAACTTTCCCCCACTTTCATGGGTCCAGCTTGGGTGTGCACACTGGGGCTTCTTGCCCATGCTGCAAGCCGATGGGCCTGAGGTGGCCACAGGGGAGACCTGGCTGTTTCCTGCATGGAGGATTTGATGGTGGAAGAGCCTTTTGACTAATGGAATTAAGTCTGAGCAACTAGAATAAGTGTTTATAGAATAGAGGATAGAGACATGAAGACCAGGGCCACAGGTCATTGCCAAATGATGAGATCCAGAGAGACAGCACTCACCCTCCTTGCAAGCCAGGACTTTCTTCCTTCAACATTTGGGGAGAAAAAGTAGGATGATCAGAAAGAAAACTAACATCCTTGCGCTCCTGGTAGGTGCCAGCCCCTGGTCCTTTAACATAGGTCGGCTCATCTTATTCAGACTTAGTATTGATCACCCTCACTTTACAGATGAGGAAACCAAGGCCAGAATGTGCAACGTAACTTGCTCAGAGGCCCAGAGCTAGTAGGGGAACCTCCAGGATTCAGTCTCCGATGTGTCTGACTCAAAAGCCTGTTTGTGCTCAGACTAGACCCCCTAAAATATCCACCGTCCCCATCCCCACCCTGACCTTGCTATCTCTGACTGTGGCTATACACTGCAAGGCGGAGGAAATGCTGTGGGACACCTTCAGGGGCCCCTGCCTCAGATGTCAGAGAAACGGAGTATCATTATCATGGCCACCAGTTTGGGACAACTATCCCTATTGTCCTGAAGCCTGGCTAAGCCAGGCTTCCAAGACCTTCCTGAGAGCCTGGGGCCTCCCCTGGGGCCAACCTCCAGGTCCTGAGAGCAGGGGGGAGTGGATTCAATGTGGTTTAGACCTACTGAGTCTATCATGGACCAGTGGGGGCTGCAGGAGAGGCAGAGAAGGAAGTGATGTGGAGCCTGCCCCCAATAGGCTTCCAGGTTCATCAGGGGAGAAGAAACGGGCAAGTGCATGCCCAGCTACAATACTGGTCAGTTGGGGTGTCGTCCAAGTGCCCTACTGCAGACTCTGGAGGAGCCCTGGGGCGGTGAGCAACCTGAGGCAGGCTCCCTACCTCATTCAACATGGGACCCAGCTCATGGCAGGTGTTCCAGGCAGGGGAGGGCTGTGAGGGCCAGGCTAGTCCCATGACCATGTCTCAGGGTCACTTCCTGAGTGAGGATGATGGGGGCAGCTCTGTCCTGCTGTGCCCCTCCCTCACAGGGCAATCTTCCTTATGTGGGTGGTCAGAGGGGGGGAATCAGGTTGGGAGTAAGCTTGATCTAACAGCAGGCCAGGCCTCCCAGAGCAAATTCTGCGGCGGGGCGGCGGGGGGGGCGGTCTGTATATGGGCTGCACTGCTTTGATAGGCATGACTCTGGGCTGGAAAGGAGTCTGTCCCTTCCAGAAACAGGCATGGCCATAGGCATGGGGGAGGGGCAATCTGCCGGGGAGAGAGGCGGCTCATGTTTGGCTCTGAGCCAGACTGTCTGGACCCACAGCCTGAGCCTGGCCACCCGAGCGTGCTGTGGACCTGTGGCTCTCTGCATCTCAGAAGCCAGCCCAAAATGGAACATTCCTGATAGGGTTGTTGCAAGAATTACGTAAGTCAATAAACACGAAGTGCATCAAATTATACCTAGTACATGCTAAGTGCCTAATGAGCATGATGAGGGTGGTGATTGGTCTGTGAAGGGGCATTGGTTCATTAGGTTCTCCCTACTGAAGGTGAGTGTGCACGTGTGTGTGTGTGTTTGTGTGAGTGAGTGTGTGAGGGTGAGCACACAATGAAGTTTTGATCTGCAAACATCTGGGAATTTATTCTGTACATAGATGACCCCGAGTCAGACAGTCTCCTCAACCTGCCATTGCAGGCTCACGGGGACACTGCAGGACCAGCCCTCCCATCCGGCCCCAGGTCCCAGCAGCACTGTATGTTGGCAGCGGGCTCAGTCAAGCCCCAGCCTCCGCGATCCATGAATCTAGTTTCTCACTTCCGTGGCTTTCCTCATGCTGCTTCCTCCTGCTCACCTTTTTCATTTGCCAAAGTCTGCCAGCTCGAATGCCACCTCTTCCAGAAGGCTGCCCTGAACTCCCCCAGGAAGGCTGAGCGTTTTGCAAGCTCATTGCATTTTGCATGCAGGGCATCTTCCCACTGTTCAGGGTAGAGTGTTCTGAGAGGGGGCAAGGTCTCGGTGTCTCCCACGCAGAGGAGGGGCCCAGTTAACACGGAGCAAGGCAAAGTGATAAAGACTTCAACTGACAGAGACCAAGAACATCCCATCAGGACCCTCCTGGTGTCTGTTATCCCATAGAGCCCAGAGCCCGAGCTCAGAGCCCTCATCTGTGCCAGGCACAGGCTTGGACTGGCATCCAGAGATGGACAGGAGCAGCCTGCTTTGGGGGAGCTCATGGTCAGCGTGAGGCGGTTGGGGTGGAGACACAGGGTTCATGGAGAGCTCTCATTCAGACAGGCAAGTGCTACAGGGGAGGTGGTGTGGAATCGTGGGGTGACCTCCCTGCACCCCAGGGAAAGGCAGGGCAGGGAATGAACACTTAGTGTGCTCTATCGTGGGAGACACCGTCCAGGCAAACTCACACATGCTGACTCAGGCAGTGGCCACAGCATCGCACCCCATTTCCTCTCGGTGGGGGCTGTGGCCTGTAGGATCCCCCGGGGGGAGGTGGGTGATCCCCCGCCAAGGTGAGAAGAGCCCAGAGGAGTGGCCCCTGGTGGGGCGGGGGGGCCAGGGCTGCCACTCGGCATCACAAGGTGTCTGTCACAGTGCGCCTTTGTAATTGTATCCTAAAAGATCACTCAAATCCACCCCCCAAAACATGCAGGTGTGTGCAAGCCACATGCAGAGACAGACCTAAAGGTCAAAGGACAACCACGTGTTGTTCTGGGGAGCTCTTTCCTTGGTGTCAGGGCCCTCTTTACTAAGCACCCGTGGACAGGTGTGGGCGCGGCCCCCGGGGGAAGGCAAAGCATGCTGTGGCCGTGCTTCTCCAAGTGCAGGCGGCACCACAACAGGCATTAGGAATGCAGAGTCTCCGGCCCCACCCCTGATGACTCCACGCTTGAATGCGCACCCGAGGACTCCTGGGCTGGTCAGGGTTTGCGGGCCCTGGGCCAGAGCACAGACGGTATTCCTAATGGAAGGACCTTAAACACGGCTAGTCCAGCCTGCTTGGTCTACAGGTGGTTAAACCGAGGTCCAGAAAGGGGAGTGACACACTCCCAAGTCACGTGACAAATGAGCAGCAGAGCAAGACCGGACTCTGACACCACACTGCTCATCTCCCTGTGTCAGTGCCCCCAGGGGGAAACCACTGGCTGGAATGTGTCCTTGCCTCTGGAAAGTGCTAGGGCAAGGCTGGGTGGAGCATGCAAACAAGGAAGAGGCATGGCTTATACGCGTGACACCAAGCCAGGAAGGCCTCAGGCTCCATGCTGCCTGGCACCCCTACTCTTGCCCTCTGCCGGCACCTTTAACATCCCCGCCCCTGCACCCTCACCCCTGCTCTGGCTTCCATCAGACACCTGCCCTGCTTCCTTCCCCCTTGCATTCCCCCTCTGTCCCTGAGTCTGTAGACTGGAGGGCTTTGAGAATGGGGGCTGAGCCACGGGCTATGCCAGGCACAGGCAGAATCTGGCAAAGGCTACCAAGCTAAACCAAGTTCGGCTGCTTCCATCACAGTGGATGCAGGAGTAAACACAGTGTCTAATCCCACGTCCTGAGGTTTAGGGTGCTCTGTGAGCAAGCCGCTTCCCAAAACCCCAGGACAAGGCTCTCTTTGCATCAGGACAGCCCCGGAGGAAACGTGAGATGCGGCATGCCCTTCTGCCAGGGCTAGGGCACTGTTTGGGATGAAACTCGAGGCTCTGTGTGCCCTACTTCTGACCAGGGGACAGCAAGGCCTTGTTCCCAGTCTGTCTGGATTGGGGGTCAGGTATCAGGGCCATTGGTAACTGAGTCCAAATGGGTCCCAGGAGACTGAACAAAGAGCTGATATTTCAGGGAGAATGATGGTCAAGTCCAAGTTTCTCTGCCACCCCCTTACCTCCCAGATTTTGACTACAGGATAACAGTTACTAGCAGAGAACCACCTTCAAGAACACTTATAAGAGTTTTGCAAACTTGAACGGACAACTGGCTGGCCTAGGCTTTATCTAGGGGTCGGCAAGCTTTTTCTGTAAAGGGCTAGATACTATTTTCAGATTCTGGCATATGCTTTCTCTGTTGCAACACTTCAACTCTGCCCAACTAATTTAGCCATTGAGGATATGAAAGTGAATGGGCATGACTATGTTCCGATAAAACTTTATTGATAAAAAACAGGCTGTGGGCCATAGTCTGCCTACCTCTGTGCCAGGTTAGGGATTCTCAACCTTGGCTGTACACCAGAAGGGTTTGGGTTCCCTGGGCTACATCCTGCTGACCGCTCAGATTGACTTAACTGGTCTGGGGTGCAGTCTGGACACTGGGACTTTTAAAGGCACCTCAAGAAATTCTAATGCACAAAGCTGAGAACGGTGACTAACCTAAGCAGTGTCTCTTGTTTCAACCTCTCAGGACAACTGGCCATGCTCCACTTAAACCTACCTGTCCCTTTGGGCCCAGAGCCCCTGCTGCGATTACCTTATGACAAAGCTGTGCGTGTCAATCTCCGGCCCACAGCCGCTGTTCAGCAAGACCCCCGAGTTGCCCACAATGGCACAAGTCCCGAAATGCTTGTTCTTCAGGGGCGAGGTTCTGGGGAGGAGATCGTAGAGGTTCTGGGACACGTTCATTGTGCTGTCACGATCGAAGATATAATGAATGATGTCTCCGGGCTTCAGGGTCCCCTTGAGGACAGAGATGTCTTTTTCAGCATCCAAGAACTTCAAGATTTGCTTCCTATAGAAACCAAACACACATGAGGAAAAAGTCTCCCTGTTGCCAACTGCCTTTTGTCAAACCAGCTTGTCCTGTCCTCTGTCCCCCTGTGGCCTGATGCAGCCAGCACACAGGTGAAGCTGAGTTCAGGTGCCCTCTGAGAATGGGTTGTAGGTGGGGTGTACCAGAAACAGCCCAGAGGCAACTAAGGTGGGGGCCAGTCTGGTTTTTGTGGGTACAGCCTCTTCCTATGAGAGTTGATAACTGCCCAGGGAAATGACTCCATTAGGACATAGTGTGAACTCATCACAGAAGGCCCTGGAAGGAAGGGTGATCCACCATTCTGGTTTGCCCAGGACAGCCTGCTTTTGGCACTGAAAATCCCACATCCCAGGGAACCCGTCTTGGACATTTCCAAACAGTGGTCACCATACATCACACTCCCCTCTCAGTGGGATTCAGGGCCAGCATCTGACAGGGGTTCCTGAACCAGGATTAGGAAGCCAGGATGACACCTGTCTCTCACACCCCAGTGGTCTATTTTCTTCCACAAAAATCTTCTCTGGGCAAAGGGATATCCCATGGGGTGAACGGGAGTGTGGATACTGTGAGGTGTGTCAACTCTCCCTTTGAGAGATGGAGAGCATGGCCTGCCGTCCCTGAGCTGGTCCATTCCATGGAGTGTGCTGTCCTGCCCCCTGCTGCTGTCTAGTTTGGGGTTTGTAAAAATTGATCCTCTCTGCTCCCTCAGAGAAATTACTTTGTGCTATTTCAGAACAAAGGTGAGCAAAGGACAGCTCCCTAGGCTCCAGGACGACTTTGATTTAGGGGGAATGCTCTAGAATCATCTAGCAAAGTACACAGAGGGAATGGGGTGTGGTCAGAAAAAGGATTGGTGTCTTCTTAGAATCACCTGGGGAGATTTACTCAAACCACTCAGGCCTAGCTGGGGTATCCTAGCCAGGGGTGGGGGTGTTTACTGTCTGAATCTCCTAAAAGATCTTGAGAAATGATTCAAGTCAGAGAGAGAAAGAAATTTGGTCCCCACATTAGCCTACATGAACTTCATTTCCTGCAGCAAGCCCCTATCGAGCATAGATACAATGATGCCAGTCTTATTTTCCACAGAGCCTGGAGGGACAACACTTCTTCCTGCACTTTGCCAATGTGCAAATTTGCAAGATGGTTGCCCCATTGTGCAGATGGTAACACTGATGCTTGAGAGCCCGTAGAACTGGAGATGTTGACCACCAGTGGTGTGTCCTAGTAAGGTGCCCATTCAAGCTCTCAGGGAACCATGAAGATTTCAGAAGCTTTGGACTCACACCTGAGAAATCCTGACTCTGAGAGTGGCTCAGTGTCTGCATGCTTCTAAAGCTCAGCAGGTGGCTCTAACGTGCGCCCAGATTTGGGAGACTAGCATAGCCAAGGAGTAGCTAGAATGCTCGGCAGGGCACGAAGCTCTTCTTCCACTAGTCTTTTCTTATTAATGATCTGGATCTCTTGCCATCGTGCGGGGGAGACACCCCTTGCTTAATAATTTGTATCTCTTGATGGGAAAAGAGGCATTATATTTATTTACTGCCCTTTACCAAGAATTATACAACTTGACAAACTGATACAGCATGGAAATTGCTAAAACCTCTGCAATTACTCACTGCAAAGTGTTTCAAAGTAAGGACAGTCTCCCAGAAAGTCCATAAATAAACACCTCTGTGAGTGAATTGATTTATAACTAATTATGAGAAATTACTATCAATTATTAAACATCATTCCAAATCACTTACAGCATCTTTTATTAAGAATAATTTTGGTGATTAATTGAAGGAAGTTGAAGGGAATTCTTTCTCCCCCCTGGGTGAAGGCACATTGTTTCTGCTAGAGTGGTTGTGTGTTTGCAGGCCCTCATGGCCTGGTCTTCTCTGAAAGTGTGTGTGTGTGTGTGTGTGTGTGTGTGTGTGTGTGAAGTGTCCATTTGTCTACCCAGAGGCAGAGGAAGGGCCAGGGGGATGCAGGTGGGTGTGTGCTGGTGGGAAGATTTCTCTCACAGATGGTGAGGTGGGGTGCTCCCCCCACCAAATATATGTCTACTTCCTAAGCCTCATAACCTGTTGTGTGGCTTTATTTGGAAATAGCACCTTTGCAGATGTAATGAAATTAAGGCTCTTGAATTGGTCCTGGATTACCCGGTGGGCCCTAGAGTCAATGACGAGTGTCCTTACAAGAAGCGGGGGAGGGAAATACCCAGACACAGAGAAGAGATGGGGAGAGGGATTGGAGCAATGAGGCCACAGGGCTGAGGAGGGGCTGGAGGAACCCCCGCCCCCCGCCCCGGCGCTGCAGAGGGAGCACTTGGAACTTGGGCCCCAGAGCTGGGAGAGAATACGTTTCTGTTGTCCTAAGCCACCAAGGGGATGGGAATTGGTTAAGAGCAACGCAACCCTGGGAGACTATTACACGTGTTCTCACTGACTGATCCAAGGGTGCTGGATCCAAGGATCACCAAGGGTTAGTGACGTAGGCCTGCAACTGTCTACCCAGGGGGCCTCAGAAGGCACACTGGTGAGGATGGCAGAAGGGTGGTGCCAGGAGTCAGTTCCTTCAGATGGCTTCTCAGCTGCTGGGTCCTGGGTCTCATGCCTCTCTAGCCCCCACCCTTCACACCCCCTCATGTCCCCACATGAAGCCTTGAGAACTGAGGGGTGGGTGCATTTCCATTTTGACAGTGAGCCTACCCTACAGGGGGTACCTCCCTGCTCCATGCGGTGACACTTTCGGTAGGTCCGGGCCCCCTGTTCTCCCTCCCCATGGTGGAAGGCCAGGGAAGGTTGGCCGCCATTGTCGAGGCTTTCTCCATCTGGTCCAGGCTACCTCGCCAACCTCCCCATCCACATTCCTTACCTCCTACTTTGTGCTCCAGCAGCACGGAGCCCAAACACCAGACATCAGGCTGTGCGCAAGCGGGACGAAGCTCGGCATGCCTGGCAAACTCCTAATTACCTTTCAAATCCCACTGCTCCTTTCCTGACTATACTGCTTCGTCCCCTTACAAAATGAAGTGTTCTCTCTTCAGTGTGATCTCTGTATTTCCACCTATTTATGAGATGCATTACATCTCATAATGTATGCATCACGTGGCACTGTCCTGTCTTATATCTGCGTCTCCCCGCTAGCATGTCTGTTTCCTGTTAGCACCCCGGGCCCCCAGCACGATGCCAGGGTTCTACTGACCAAGCCTTGCTGGGTCAGTCATGGCTATATCAATGTCAAGTACTCAAAATGCTGATGCTGCAATTCCTTCTATACAGCTCTCCATCCCTGCCACCCAGCAGTGACTGCAGAGCTCTGAGATATCACCCTCGAAGCTCAGGACAAGAGCTGCTCTCTGGCTAAGCAGACCTCTCCTCTTCATACCAGCTCCTGGGTCACCCACAGACGGCGGCACAGGTACCAGGCTGGTACAAGCAGGGGACGTCTCCCGCCCGAGAAGGACACTTGCTTTGGATCCCCTGGAAGAAGCCACCTGTGGTCTCCACCCCCCAGGCTCCTGCTGCTGCTGACCCGAGACCCTCACTCCTTCCGGAACCCAGGACCTCAGCAGGGTGCTCCTGCCCACCTCCCCGGCCCCAGTCGCTGCACACATGTGTTGGGCCGCTGGGCTTGTCTCAGGTTTTTATTTGCAATTGATCGCTTACAGATGAAACCTGCCTCAGTGGGAGGTAAACATTTTATTTCTATCCTGACTTCTTTAGATGATGGAAAGCGGCAATTTGCCAGCTTGTGCCGAAGAAGGCCAAGGCTGTCTCTTGTCCTATAGGTGATTACCACTACCTGATCCTCAGAGAGAGCGTCTGGTTGTGCCTCCATTTGGCCGAGGCTGGCTGGATGTTGTGCTTAATGCTTTCATTACTTCTGTCAACAACAGCTGGTGACGAGGAGCCATTTATTACAACTTCAGCTCTGGAAAGGAAAAAAAAGAGAAAGAGGGTAGACATGATCTTTTAGCATGCCGATGACAAGTCTAATAGTTTTATTTTTGCACGGGCTTGGATGTAAACTTCGGGAGAGCAAAATTGCAGTTATTACCCGAGAAGGGAAGGAAGTCTATTTATCCTCTAGAATGAACAAATTCTCTCCCCCAGGTATACGCTACATCCAGTTTGGAGACGGGGAAGGGGGTGGTAGAACTTTCTTTCTCCCCATCCCCCGCCCCAATGTCTCCTCCCAGTGAAATCTAGCTGTCACTGTTGGAATAGTAATACGTCTTCAAGTTACTTTTGCAAAACTCTGCAGTTGCATTAGCAGCTGGGTGTCATCAGATGGTCTACAAACTTAATAAAGAGAAAACAAAAGCTCATACCAGGGGAAAGTGAAGCAGCCTGCAGCTTCCCCCTCCTCCCCCTTACCCCATCACTTCCCCGTTTGTACTCTCAGATGACACCTCACACCGCGTTCCACAGTTCTCGGTGCTCAGTCTCCCTCTCCCACTAGGCTGTAAGCAGGGGAGCTCCCTCATTCATTTCTTCATTCCCCAAAGGTCTAACATAGCAGGTGCTCAATAAGTGTTTGTTGAATTTGAATTTGAATTTCACCCTGGGGGAGCCTGGATGGATGAAGGAGCTGGTTGACCCTGTATGCCCAGGGCAAATCACGATTCTGGTGGCACACCGTCTCTCCACCTGACTCAGGAACACTGAGCATTCAGGACCCGCTTGAATTCTGAGGTTTGAAATCTATGCTAGTAGGTTTCTAAGAAACTAGGTTACAATTACATCTCTAAAGGCAGTGTAGTAGCTAGCCTGCCTCTGTCAGACATGCACAGATGAGTGTGGGTCACATCAGGTGTTGCTTTTGTGTGTGCTGATAGTAGATTCTCCCACTTCGAGTGATAAGTGGATTTGTGATGCCAAACTTTGGAGCTCTAAAGAATTCAAACCAAATTATCTATGTCGTCGGCATTTATCTTGAAACAGCCAAGTTAAAAAAGATACAATTCTTTTAACGAGGTCTACAGCCAATGCTCTATTTTGCTTTTTGTAGGTAGAGAAGAAATACAGCTGGGGGTGGCAAATTGTCTCTGCACACTCTCCCCACACACCTCCATTGCTCAATATTCATGACTCCTCTGGCTGATATCGCTGGTCTTGGATTCAAACATACGTAACTTTTGCAGAGGACTAGAAGAGGAAACAGAAGACCCTTGGAAATTTTGCTGTTTTCATGAAAGGAAGCAGAAGGTGTCATGGAAAGATTTCACAAGCTGTGTGACTGTGGGTAAATCATTTTACCTCTCTGAGATTCAGTTTCCCCATTTACAGAAAGAGGGTGTAGAAGAGGAAGATATCCAGCATTAAGGATCTAGAATTCTGTAAGGACCGTGAGGTCTCCTGCACCTCTCACTGACTGCCCTCTTGTGAGGCTCCAGGAGGAACTGCTTGTGGCTATAACCCTTTGGCACTGCCTCCTTCTGCACAGGCCACAAGCAGGAGCGGTGGCACTTGGGACCACCCCAAGAACCCAAACTTCACTGTAGCTTACATCAGATGGTATATGTGACAGAAACACTTGACTTCTTGTGATGGGGAATTGTCTTCCTAACAGGGTAGCTGACGTTCTCATTGGTAATAAGTGGCCAGAACCTGGCATCTTATGGCTTAAGGTGGATTTGGTCTTAAGGTGAAGCTTCCCAGAAACTGGGGCACATTGGGTGATCCCAGGCTCTCTCAGGCTAGAAGGATCTGCAGAGGTATCTATCCTCGATGCTCGCCCAGAAGGAGTTTCCAGGCTTCTCTGGGACACAGAGTGGTGGAGGTGAGGAAAGGAACTAGATAAATGCTGGCATGACTAGTGGTAAAATTCCATTTCTGTCTCCACTTCCTAGTGAAACCTTGGTGGAGACCCTGCACTGCCAGCCACGGTCTTCCTGGAGTTAAACCTGGCTCTGTGGCAGTTGAGCTGGGGGACTTGCTCAAGTCACCCTGGGTCTCTGGCCTCTGCCTTCTTCTCTGTAACACTGAGGGGATGGATTAGGTGACCCAGGAACCACCTCAGGTCACTGGTTTTACATGCTCTATGTTGCACGAACTCAGCTGGATTGGTGGGTTGTTCTAATTCAATGAGGAAACAGGTTCTGAGGGGAGAAATAATTTGCCCATGGCCCCAGCTAACAAGCACGGGGACTGAATCCAGGTCTGCTTAGCTCCCACGACTTTTTCTTCCTGCTTCTCATACTTGATTTTGGGTAAGACTCTTCTACCCTCAAGTTACCATGGGGCACAGCTGTGGCAAGATCAAGGGTCAAGATCTTGTTTCTCCAAAAGGGGACATTTTTCCACAGTAGAAGAGAGAGCGCAATCTTCATTTGTAGCTCCCAGGTGGTTAAGGGGTCATTAGATAGCTAGAAGCAATGACGTCAGGGAGAGAGGGTCACTTTCCTGAATCATGTGGGGTCAGGAATGGACATATTGAATAGGTCTGATATGGTCAAGAGACCTAAAAAAAATCTATAGAAGGGCAAATAATGACCCTACTCCAAATAATTTGGATCTCTCATTCCCAGACTGACCACAATAGGATATTTAGAAAGTAAAACAAGGTCTTCATTTTCAGTAGTGGCTATTTACGTCAAATAATGTGGCATTCTTTCTTCCTTCCAATGTTCCTTAAGCTCAGGCTCATAGACTGTAGGTCATAGCTATGGGGCAGTTGTCATCAGTGGAGAATGGGGGCTCAGAGGAATGGTCCAACCATAGCCAGTGGCAAGTGTGGGTCTGTTGGCTTGCAAAGCATTTGCTTGCTTCTGTGTATTGAGCAGCCCCTGGCCAAGGATCATCACAGGAAAAAACACTTTCAGAATTTAGATTGTGCATTCAACAATCAAGATTAACATTACTGAGTTGACTCCCTAAATATTTTTAAGAGGTCTTTGTGAAGTTCCTGAATGTTTTATTTTCCATCTTAATCTCCTGGATAAGCCACCTACCACAATGAAATTGAGTGAAAGACCTGATTCTCTTCAGAGCTTCCACTGCTCAGCAAAAATGCAAGTTATGAATAAGCACATTGGTGGCTCAAGTGCTTCAAAGTGTGTGGGCTCTTTTCCAGAAAGTAGCCCTTACCCATCTGAGTTTTCCATCTCTGCAGCCTCTAGACCTTGGGCCGTTTCATGGGCTCTTCTATCGACAGCTCCTCCCCAAAAGTGATTAGGGAAATGCAAAGCCAAAGTGAAACTAAACAGATCTATTTGCTAAGTAAGAAGGGCACCATCCAGCAAAGAGGAGAAGCAGATTAATAGCTGCCTTACAGCAAAAACAAATGAACACAAAATCTAATTTACAAACCTATTAGATTTGCTATGTAAGCTGTTCACAGCTGATCTGATTGTACCTCTGCCTCCAGAATCCCTGCAAGACAAAGGAAATGCATTATTTATAAACCCAGCTCTTCTTCGCAAAGCCCTCTTCAATCACCAGGAGATCCTGCAGCCCTTCTGGAGAACTACAGAGGGAGGATGAGATCTCACTCTGGCTTCTCCAGAATGTGGGCAACATCCTGGCCCAGCCACAGACCCAAGCATTTTACAGGGAAGTAGGCCTCCAGATCCTTCCTGCTTCCCACTCGAACACTGTTTCAAGTTGTACCAGGGTTTCCACTTGAGATTTTCATTTGAGTCTTGAGACAAACTTCTTTGGGATTAATCTCCCCTAGTTAATCCCAGAGGATAGTACACCTCAGCATGACTCAGCATGATTTAGCATCTGCTCTAGCATGACTATAGCATGACTTGGCATTTACTCTAGCATGATTCAGCATCTGCCCCTGGTCTTCTCTTGCTCTCACTCACATGTGTTAGGATGTTGTCCATCACATTCCAAACCTGAGACACCAGAAGTTCAACAGAGGCAGCAATGATTGACTCAGTCATTGCCTCCAACCAAATGTGATAATGATTTGCTTTCCGGTGGCAGGAAAAATAATAAGTGGTGTAACTGTTTTTGGGAGTGGGAAACAGGAGATGGGTGAATAATGGGGTCCTTCGCTTCTTCCTCTGGAATATAGGTTTTTGGAGTAAAAGCCTTCTAGGTCCCTTTCCAGTGCCACCATCCATTCAGTTCTGGGAAATTCCATTCTGAAGGGGGCCTCTAGGGCCATGAAGTTTCATCCTGCTTTGCTACCACACTGGGCCAACGGATAGATGAATCCATCCATCCTCAGTACCTAGTCCACTCTGTTCCCTGTGTGTGTTTTTAAAAAGTTGTGAGACTAATTATTTTTATTAAGTTAAATACTTTTTTCTCCCATTGATTTATAGGATGTGTGGTTGAGGAGCTCTTTCTTCATACTTTTCTCATTTTTTAAATTTCCATCTAGCCTTTCAGTCAGGGTGTTAGAACACTCCAAAGGAACGATAAAGTCACTGGCAAAGCTGTGTGTTTCAAGGGATCCTGTGATTTACTGAGCACTCTTTGGGGGAAGTGCATGCTTATCTCTACACTGGATATAAGTCTGGATTTTTCTGTCTGCTCTCTTTAGGGTTATCATATCTGTAGTTATAACACCGTGTGTGCATTTTGTGTGCACATGTGTGTGAAAACATACATGTCTTTTCCTGATGGACTGAAATGTCTTTTCAGCATTATTTGGCAACAGGCAACATTCTCCCACTTCACAGCCAGACAACCCAACAAAAGGAAGTATGCTACATCCTGCCGAGAGCCTTCTCCCTCAGGTTCTTCCTCAGGTCTCAAATTTCCATCCTTCCCAGTCTAGTTCTTGATTGCATGGAGTATCATTGGTTCTTCACATTTTAAATCAATGCCTAGTATTTCCTTTTTGTTTCTCCTTGATTCTCCCTGGGAACAGAGCTCTGTTCTGGCACTTTTAACTCAGGGGTCTGGGAATATCGGCCAGCTCTGGCCCTATAACTATATCTACTCAGATCAAACCCCAAGGGCTTTCCTGGTCGTACTCCTGTCCACATGTCATTGACTTTTCACATCCCCCCATCCTGACTGCCGTCCTCAAAATCAGTACTCTTCACGGGGAGGGAAGACCTGCAGGGCTAGATATTAAGTCAAGTGCAGTAATTAATAGTGTGGTAATAGCTGAAGGCTAATGAAAGGTTAATGGAACAAAAAAGATCATCCAGAAAGACTGCATATAAGAATTGATATATGACTTTAAAAAATCACGATCAATGAGAAATTCAATAAATGGTTAGCAGTAGTTGGTTAACAACCTGGAGGTGAGGTGGAGGGGAATGAGTTGAATGTTACTCTATACTACACAGCAAAATAAATTTCAAGTGATTTAACTAGTGTTTCCTAAACACCAGCCATTCTCATACTCCTATCACCAGTTTGCCATATTTTGTTTATCACTCACACTATTACCTACTTAAGTTTTAAAACTGACTCATCTTTAAAAACTTCTGATCCTAAGCAATGCCATCTGTGAAAATACAGGTTTGGTACCATGATTATATATGCATTTGAAAAGAACACAAAGTCATTAACACAAAAATATTTATCACTGGAATTCCTAAAGTCATAGTCTCCCCAAGAATACTTCTAGCACCCTCTGGAAAAGACTGAATCGAAGAGGTACCCATTTAAGGAAGGGATCCCATAAGAAATTGGTGAGAAAATGGTAGAGAATATTTATCAAATCTTTGATGAGGTATGAAGAGTGTGTGTGAAGGACTTTTTAAAATTCAGAAGGGTAAGAAGAATCATAAGAGAAAATATAAGACAGATTTGACTTTATAAAAATTTAAAACTCTGCTTATACAAAAAAGCAATCCTCAACAAACCCTGTGCACAGTGGCTTTCATGAAATTGAAGCAGGCATCAGAAGAGAGAGCAGCCCTCTGGTTTAAGGTGACCAGGGGTTTGGAGAGAACCACGTGCCTGACTACAGCTGTCCCAGGTCTTTCTCTTCTGCCTCCAGGCCAGGTCCTGGGTGGCACCAAGACCTACTGACGTGGGCACCACAAATCCAGGCCCTTTTTCATACCAATACTTCCTCTACCTCAGGACTACCCAGCTTCAGCACTGTTGACATTTGGGTGGGATATTTCTTTGTTGGTGGGGTTGGGGGTAGGGTGTTGAGCAGCATCTTGGCCTTTATCATTTTATGCCAGTAGGAGCCCTTCCCCACCCCCCAAGTTATGACAACCAAAAATATGTCTAGACATCACCAAATGTCCCCTGGGGCAGGGGGGGGGGCAAAATTGTGTCCATTCAGAATCTCTGCTCTAGCTCTTGTTTCTGCCCAGTGCCCCTGGGAAAATGGATCTCCCACCAGCCAGCCCATCTGTGTCACCTTCCCGAGCCGAACCCTGAGCCAACACCTGTGCCTCCCTTCCAAACCATCCCTATTTTCATTTCTCTGCCATCTTTTCCATCTCCTCCCAGAGCATTCAATTATCTTACAGCATTTGTCACCTTCATGGTGTATTTAATTATTTCAACTATTTTATGAACTCATGAATTGGGGGGAGCTTTAAAGAAATCTCATGTGCATAGTCCAAACTCCTCTTCTTAGAGTTGAAACCAGGGCCTGGAGATTTGGTCCTGGTTGCAGTTTCCTCAGCTGCTCACTACACTAGAACGTCAGCCCCTGGAGGGCATGCATTAACCAGGTCTTTTATTTTCTGTATTCTTTTTTTTTATTATTATTATGTTAATCACCCATACATTACATCATTAGTTTTTGATGTAGTGTTCCATGATTCATTGTTTGCGTATAACACCCAGTGCTCCATGCAGTATGTGCCCTCTTTAATACCCATCACCAGGCTAACCCATCCCCCCACCCCCCTCCCCTCTAGAACCCTCGGTTTGTTTCTCAGAGTCCATCGTCCCTCATGGTTCGTCTCCCCCTCCGATTCCCCCCCTTCATTTTCCCCTTCCTGCTATCTTCTTCTTTTTTTTTTTTAAACATATGTTGCATTACTTGCTTCAGAGGTACAGATCTGTGATTCAACAGTCTTGCACAATTCACAGCGCTCACCATAGCACATACCCTCCCCAATGCCTATCACCCAGCCACCCCATCCCTCCCACCCCCCACCACTCCAGCAACCCTCAGTTTGTTTCCTGAGATTAAGAATTCCTCATATCAGTGAGGTCATATGATACATGTCTTTCTCTGATTGACTTATTTCACTCAGCGTAATACCCTCCAGTTCCATCCACGTCATTGCAAATGGCAAGATCTCATTCCTTTTGATGGCTGCATAATATTCCATTGTACATATATACCACATTTCTTTATCCAGATGAATGGATATTTTCTGTATTCTGCAGCCTTGTGGACTCTGGAGGGACTGCCCCTCCCAGAGTTAGCCAACTCCTAGAGACAGTAAACAACTCACTTGGGAGTGCACCTTTCAAAGGCAAACCAACCAACCCCTGCCACCTCCCTTATTGGGGTCTCACACTCTGGGCTACTATCCCCCTGCCCTAATCACCCCAGAGCCAGGTATTAGACAGCTAGGGGCAGACCCTATGTCCTAGAACCTGCTGGATTTATTCAAACTAGCCAACCTCGGCCTGCTTGTCCTACCTGTGAGAATGACAATAAAGGCTTTTGTCCACAGTTTTCCCCATCTCTCTGCCTCCTGAGTGACCAGGGATTTGGGAGTATAACGAACTATCTTTTTAATGGCAATTGTCCCAATATGGCCTGACCATACCTAAATAATAATAAGACTTATATTAAAACGGGGCGGGGGGGACCCTGTCTTGTTCACCTTCACAGTCTTCCCCAACTATGGCTTAGTGAATCAAATCTAACTTCAAGGTTAAGTGGGACTTTTCTTTCAAAGCCTTCCCTTCCCAGTGAGCATGCCGTGTTCCTGCATATTATTTACGCCTGTACAAGACACAGTTTCACCTCTCAGATATCCATAGAATGGGGCAGACCATCATTCAAAGAAATAGATTGCAGATGTTTGGCTCAACAAGTATCATATGAATTGACAAGGGATTTTTTTTTTTTCTGATTAGGTTTTGCCTTCACTGTTATTAAACTAAGCTTACCTTCCTTACAATGGAGGAATGCTGATACCTGCTTGGTTGAGTGACATAAGAAGATGATCGGGTAAAAAAAAGTTGCTAAAGATAATTCACAGTGTGCTGAAGTCATAGAAACAAAGGCGCTTATCATCCAAAGGAGAAAACATATGGGAAAGCACTTTGCACACATAAAAAACTCTATAAAACAAGGTATAATACTAGTAATAACCACTGTGCATTTGGCCCGGCTGAATATTCTCAGCCACAGCGATGAGAGAGATTGCTTTAGAGCCCTGCATTTTAGGACAGTGATCTCCTTTCCACCACAGACCCAATACTCCCACCGAGTAGAGTGTACTTGGTAAACTAAGACAATACGTAAA